CCGTGCTCAAGTCCAGGAATGTTCTAGACTTTTTTGGAGAAACCATAACAAGTGCAGGAAATAGATTAGTGCACTCTGTGTTCCACACTGACCGCAAACCTCCTGAGCCCGGCCTCTTCAAACCCACATGTGTGGGAACAGGAGCCACAGCAGCAGAAGGACTAAGACCTGAACTCAGACTTCACTGCAGACCCCAAAAGGACCTACAGCATGGAGTAATCGGGACATCTTTATTTCATTACTGACCCTGTCTCCTACCTAAGGACCAACACACAGGACCTCCGGTAAAAAAAATCCTCCAGAGCTAAACCTACAGTACTACCATCCAGCAATGAATAAGACCCAATGTAGAATGGTGGTGAATGCCATTTATATAAAATACAGTATCACTTGTGACTGTAAACTTACTGAATTAGGAAAATTCATTCTTTCTCACATTGTTATTGTCAGTCTATGATGTTTAAAGCATAACATTTATAATTTGATGTGTTTCAATTTACTCTTTGGTTGGCTGACCTCTGCCTGAACCTGTCTTGTGCAAGTTTAACTCAGGTTGGATTTCTCTACTTCCTTTACAAAGTAGTGGGAAAACAAGCATAACATTTCCTCAGAAAGTCAGTTTAATGTACCATTTGACACACAATACTTGATACACAATGACTTCCTCCATTTTGGACTCTGTTCTCCCTTTTTTTTAAATCTCTGTATGGACTTTTCCCATTGAGATTCAGTAGATGTTTAGTGGGCATGACTGTCACCAACTGGAATTTCTTTCTCTAACGTGACACTAACTTTACAGTTACAAGGTTTTTCTGACTGGTGGGTTCACGGTGAGAGTCAGGCCAAGGTGAGCGGCTCACTGTCAGTGACTGATTATTGTACCAGCTCTAAAGGAGTTCAGCCAAAGCTCAAGTAGATTTTGTTTTTATTTTGACGGCCTTCTTATGTCAACCCCCCACAGAAAAATAAATATGTTCAAACCTTGAGTACTGTGGAAGCTGTTCCGGCCAGGCTTGGCAGGGGACGGTGGCGGCCATATGAACTCACTCGGCACACGCACTAGTGTGTACATGCATGTGTGCGTGCATTTCTACTACTATACAAGCTGGTGTATTTTTGTGAGTATATATGATTGTGCATGCATACATTCTGGATGACATTTGTGTAAGAATCAGATGGTTCACTATGTTTAAAATGTGTGTGCCTGCTATTACTAACACTGTAGGGACTGAAACCTGTTTACACACTCACACTGTGTGGACTCTGCATCCTCGTGGAAATCATATAAATAATAGAATTTTAAAGAGACAGATGGGTTTAAGAATAGGGGAAGGGTTTGGGTTAGGTAAGAAGTGGTTTTGGCTAAAGTTAGGGTAAGTCTCCAGGAAATTAATGCAAGTCAGCATAAAGTCCCAACGACTCATGAAAATAAAGGTGTGCATGTGAGTGCACATTTTTATATAGCTTTGTGGATAGATACTTGTCGCTTAGTAGTTAGCTTATTTAAATCATATGAAACTTTGGCTGGTTCTTACAACTTCAAAAGTAGTTGTTTGAAGACTAAGACTTGGTTTTAGGGTTCAGGTTAGAATTAGGTTTAGGCAGTTAGTTGTAATGGTTAAAGTTAGGGTATGGGGCAAGGTAATTCCATCTCTAAGGCCAATGTGTGTGAATGTGTTTTCACTGGGCTCTTTCTGACTCATTACATTGCACAGCAGAAAATCTACAAAAGCCTACAAAGGTACTTTCTTTACTTCCTAGAAAAAAGGTGGCTCTTCATAATCAAAACAGCAAAAAAGCCCTCACATCTGTCTTATGTCAGTCATACAAACTGACAACCATGACAAAATAGCTTATGCATCTCAGCATCAGCTTTCTTCTTCAGAGCATGTGGCCTGAAGCTTTTTTCCTCCATTAAATAGGCAATCTACTCAGTATATAACCAGAGACTCGTCAACTCATTGATGATGGTCTGATCGTTTTTCAGATGAAGATCCCAAGTGATAACCACCTGTTCTCCCAAACCTCTTCCTTCATTCCCCACAAACATATGATGGTCACAACATTTGGGCGTCTTCTTGAACAGGACATTGCAGAACTCTTGAAGAATAACAGAGGTCCAACTTAATGCAACCTCTCTACTCAAGAAAGAACAGCACTGATGCAGAGCTCTTTACAATGCGACCACCATTCACACATCCATGCTGTAACAGCAACTGACCTACCCATGGGGAGTACTTGCCCAACCATGATATTTCAGCGTGTGGCCAGAGAAGCCTGGGATTGAACTGTGAGCCGTGTTACTAGTGGACACGTCACTCTAGTTGTTGAATAACAGCCACCCAGTTTTCACAACCTATGCAGTTCTGTTCAACTGCCATCTTGTATTTTATTTGATTTGGATTCCTTAACAAAGAGCTGCTTTCAGAAGAGCTTCTGCTTGTAACTGCATCATGACCCAAAAATCATGCGACTGTGGCTAAATAGTCACTGACAGATGATCCGTCCATGTTCAAGCCAGTGCAAGGTGATTTTCATGTGCAATAGAATTGGTGGAGGTCGCTCCCTCCCTCATATTCAGTCCTTAAAAGCAGCAGGATTAAATGTTTGCCATTTCTGTGATAAATCACCCTCTTTGTAGCTCAGTGATGACTTTAAACACTGGACAGTTTTGCACAACAGTCTCAGCTTTAACATGTCACAACAATTTAAACAATCTCCTAGGAGACTGTGATGAATTAAAGCAAAGCATGTATAGAGGAAATAACTCGTTCTGCCCCTCGAGTACTGAGATGATAACGCTAATAGTGGACGAATGAGGGTTTGTGATGTGTGCATGAATGCAGCTCTATTACACAATGAAGGCCCTCGCGGGGTGAGGTGAGCCCTCAGTTTCAACCCCTCCAAGCAGCTGCTGCGTCCCTGAGAACAGCAGCAGCTCAGAGCTCAACAGCTCTCCCTTCCTGCTTCTTCACATGTCAAGAGCTGGTTTGAATGAAGTTAAAAGTGATGTAATCTAATCCATGAGGACTCACACGCTCACATAAAGACAGACAGGATGCCTCTACTCAGGTGACTTGGATGAAAGAGATGATGTTTTTGAACAGTTTGAATTTGTCTTGTGTTGAACAGTACAAGTTGCTGATCCCATCCACTCTCATGGATCTCAGCCAAACTGTGTAAATGAATCATACTGCAGCAACACCCAGAGACACAGAGGCTCCTGATCCTAAACTTCTGTTGAATCAACAGAACAGTGATGAGTACAAGCTCTGTCTCCATGGAGAAAAATAACATATTTGAATGTGTGTGTGACACAGCATTTTTACACACATTTCCAGAAGCATGATGTATTGTACAAAATGGCAAACATGCTGCCTGATGAAGCTCCTCAGCAGAAGTAGTAAAAAAAACTGCAGGTGTTGTCTGCAAAAAGGTACTGGTACAGAAGGGGATAAGGGCCACTCTACAAAAACCACTACACAGTAAACATGTAAGGGTGTCACATATGGAACGACAACAGGCAGGGGATAAGGGACCAAAGCAGAGTTGCCAAGGAACAAAGATGAGCCAGAAATGCACATTTTAGCTCTACCAAAATCCAAATAAAACATTTCCCCATGTTACAGGAAGTATTAATCATCAAAACTACTTCTTAGGCAGAAAATATTTGATGAAAATTGTTTAGATCTGTGGACTATCAGGTTTAATTAGGACATGTTGCACCTGTTGGTCTTTAACCATTTAAAATATAAAGCAGCTAGTGAATAGCCAGTGTACTGATTGCTATTTGAGTCAGAAGTTGCATCAGGACAGCAACAGTTTATGTACTATACAGAAGTAATATAAAATGAGATCAAGAGACATGCTGGTGGTAAGAAGGTACTGAGAGCAAGCCCACACCACTGCTGTTTGAATTCTAGAAAGGTTCTGCAAAAATAGAAGCCTTCTCTCCTGTTTGTTGTTGTTAGGTTACAGCCATTGACCGTATATAAAAGGTGGAGAACATGTCACCACTCCCCTCAACTGGTACACACACATCAGCACGATAATATCTACCAAATACAACAGAAATCACTGCTGGGGAAAACTTATCTGATTTGTACTTGTTTTAGTTTGGCTCATGTCCCATCCACTAACATGGAGGGGGCAAGGTTTAATGCAACCAGCCACCAGGGGGCGATGTACTTACAGTGGCTTCACTTCTGGGAGCCGTCTTAGCATACACATCCTGCATATAGTCAGTGGCTAGAACTAAGTCTAATCAATGCCAGTGCATAAATGAATATTTCACAATTAACCTGGGAAAATAAGACTCTGCACAGCTAGCAGTAAATGAGAAAATATGTTTCTTTGTAATTTGGGTGATCTGACTAAGTGTTCTTAAACTCAGCTAAACTGGAGAGTTACTACCAGTGTACAAGCCTTCACATTTGTCCAGCAAATGGGGAAGAAGTGTTAGTGCCAGGCTACACAATCATGCTACATGTGCATCTAAAAGTGTACAATTAAACCAAGTGCATGTGAACTCTGTCTGCCTCTTGTAAACCACAACAGTCCGAGATATACTGTACGTTTCAATTTTGGTTTGAGTAAAGCCTCACCGTTGAGGTCCGAGGCATGTTTATGCGAGTCAGCATGTTTAAGTGACTCAGTTTGAGAGGATAAAAGGGAGAAGAAGGGTTCTGAGACTTCTTGATCTGGTGAGATCTGACAAAAGTTGTGGACCTGTGGTGAACTGGACATCACAGACTGTCAGCCACATTTATGTTCAACGTGAACAAAGCAAAACCGTACGTGACTGAGCCAGTCAGGACAGATGAAGCTTGGGCTGTTCTGACATAAAAGTCATCTGAGGTAATTGTACGCAACAACAGAACAGAATCTAGCCCACACACTTAGCACCTTTGACATTTAATTCTCAAACACAGAAGTTAGGGCTCTGAGTGTGCAGACCTTTCTCTCTTCCACCTTTAAAAAAGGAAAAACTTTTCACTCACCGAACCTCTTGTATCCAAAAGACTGAACCTCCTCCTCGTCTGCAAAGTCGTCTGTGTGACATAATCAGAAACACATGACAGAAATAGGTCATACACACGCCACTGGGGGGTATATTTTGTTTAAGGCAGTCTGTAGGATTCCACAAACAAAATGAAACAAAGAAATGCTGCAGGGCAGCTGCACAGAGCCAGGAATTCATGATGTTATCCTTTAATACATCATCTCTAGTGTGTGTGTAATGGTTGGAAGTCTAGAGTACTGTAAAAGTCACAGTCCGTGTGCAGTTTCTCTGGTTGTTGACAGTAAACCCTAATTACACTGTGCTACAATGTACTGAAGGATGCAGCAGAAGACAGAGAACATCACTGGTAATGGTAAACAGATGGGACAGGGGGTGTAACATGGGTGAGGGAGAGAGACAGGGCAGGGGTTATTGGAATGTGTGTTTGTTGGTGGGGTGGGGGGTCAGACTAGATTTAGAGCCAACCTCAGTTTCTCCTGAATGATGTGATTATTAAAGTACTTCAACTGGTAGTAAACACAGGTAGTTCTTTAACTGGGTAGGTGTGGATACAAATACAGCAGTACAGGTGGTGTTCACCTGGTCATCTCAAGTCTTGCAGGAGCTTTTCTTTTACCAGGCTCAAGTATTATGGAAAGTACATCTTTGCCCTTCTTCACTGCTATGACGGATTCACATAGTTTAGCCTAATGTGGGATTTTTCAGATTTAAAAGTGACTGTTGACCCGAAACGCAGTCTAATTCTACCAACATGAGTAGGTCTTTTACTTTCATTAGTGAGTTGCAACTAAGTGATGGTATAAGCACTTCACACCTTCTGCACCGCCGTACAGTAATGTCATCCAGATGTCAATCGCGCACCACATAGAAATACGCACATGCTTAATAATGAAGTTTTTAAACACTAATTTAATCCATAGATTCTAAAGACATGGCCATAACTATCAGCTACACGCAGACTACGTACCTTTCATGGCGTTTTGTAACTCGTTGAAGACTGTAGTAGAGATCAGGACCCTGTTCACTTTCTGCGCATCTCAGCATCCAGTGCAAAGGAGTTGAACTTGGTCCACGGGAAAGCCACACGCACTTAAAGAAATAATGAAACTATAAGCATGTCTTCATGTTGATAGACTTTAAATTCCCATGTCTGTGTCTTGCTGCTTGCTTCAGATGAGTTTCTGCAGAAGTGATGAGATGTTCCCAGAGCCTTGTCTTCAGCGCTGAAAGGAGAGCTGATGTGAGCGACGTTAAGTTACACAAGATGACAAACTACACTTCCGATGCCACCTTTCACAATAAGTTGCAGGCTCTATGACTAGAGCTATAGCTATAGGGTAAGATGGAGTATGATGCAACTCCACCTGTGGACACTGTTAGGTATTTTCTTAGTTAGGTAGATATTTAGGGATTTGTTGTCTAGAAATGTGTAAGGCAGACAGGATGTCTAGCTCAGGCTGTTGGGTGCTCAGTTCATTGTCATGAGTTCTGCAGGCTGCATCTAGGCCAAGGTCAACTAGATTGCAGAGTCTGCCGGCAGATGAATATTGCTAGTAGCATGATAT